TTGCCCTCCTCCCAGCCTGGAACCCTCGTGCCTTAATTTTTTTTTTACCCTTTTCTGAATACCGTAGTGTCATCTTTCTTACTTTGTCCGTTCTCCGGGCTCGAGAGCGTATTTCCGGAGCCATGTCAGAAGGAGTGGACTTGATTGATATATACGCTGATGAAGAGTTCAACCAGGTGAGAGGACGCGGCAGCAGCTTTGGGTTTTCCTTCATCAGTCTACTAGCAGTAGACTCTCAGCTCAAAATCATTCCCCTCCGTATCGAAGCATTTCCCCCTAGCGGAGGCGTTGAAGACGACTGACCATTCCCCTTTATGTTAATTTGAACCTCCAGGCTTCAGTTTTAAAGGGCTTGCTTTAAGAGCAAATAAAAAGACAAGTGTAATAGAATGGTGAATCAGCCTGCGGAATTTGTTTCCCCAAGCCATTCCAAAGTTGAATGACTAGCCATAATTAAAAATCAAAATTACATTTGTTGCAGTATTGTGAGGATAATTTTGATACTTGTTACTTTGCTGTTCTCTCAGCCTGCGGCTTCAGAATGTTAGCTCTTCCTGCTGTCCCCTCCGCCCCCTCCCCCTGAATGGTGCAGACAGTACAAGAGATAACTTTGAAAGACACAGTATACTTTAAAGATGAGGTTCCAGCGCCATACCAGGTGTCTTTAGTCTTTTTAAATAGCTTGACTGTGGTCTTGAGAAGTCTGTGGGCATTTTGGTATAAGTTTTATTTATAAAACATTACGATTTCTGGAGGGTGGAAGGGAAGTAAAGGCAAGTCAAAGACTCAGTCACCCTAGGTTGAATTTGTTTGTGTCTTTGCATGTTTACTACAGTACTGGGAAATTTATACAGTGTCCGTAGAAATAGTAATCTATGCAGTTGAGTACTGTGATCTTGAAGTCAAAGCTTAACGGAAGCTTTCTATTTAAAACTATCTTACGTGGGTTCTTCAGCAAGTCATCCTTGGGCAAGCTGGTTCTTGTCATTGGTGTGTTCCAGTGGGTACACATAAAGACCTGGGAAGAATGGGCTAGAAAAGTAGAATGCCTGGGTTGGAACCTGACTTCTATAGGAGGCCACAAAGGAGGCTCATGCGCCCCATTGTTTTATTTTCCATTTTGTATATGTGTGTGGTTCTATGCATGTGAGTGCAGGTGCCCAAGGAGCCCAGCAGTGTGGGGTCCCCATGGAGATGGTGTTACAGGTGGTTGTGAGCTGCCTGACATGGGTGCTAATAACCAAACTCTGCTTCTCTGGGCAAGCAAGCAGAAAGTGTTCTTCACTGCTGAGCCCTCTCCAGTGTGGCTTTCCTGAGTTTTACGTGTTTGTTTGAATTAGATTTTCACCATTTGAAATTTATGCTTTGTCATTAATTAACAAGTCTCTTAGTTCTGTATTACTAAAAGGTGGTGTGTTCCCCCCACCCCCCAATTCTGAATCTGTGTTGTTGACTGCTCCTAACTTACTTTAGAGAACAGGTGGCAGAATCCTTGTACCATGGGCCATATTTGATCTAAAAGAAAAATTAATTAATAATTGGTTAAGCAATATGACTTGGGAATCATAGACAAGACATAGTTCTTGTCCAGTGGTCACTGCTTTGTCAAGGTAGACATTATTAACCTCAGTAATTTGTTCCTTAGTTGGCTTTGGGGGGGGGGGACGACTTACTGCTCTAAAGCCAGAATTAGTTTGTGGACTCTTGAGCATATATACCAAAAGGGCAGTGTTTGATACAGGGAAAATTGAAACGAGTATAGATTTTGAGTGTCTTATGTTCTGAAAGTTAAGAAAGGAGACCCCATCCCCATAAGTTAATTTTTGGCGAAGCTGGTTTTAGTGTAATCTAGAAGCTGCTAATTGGTTAAAAAGTCTGGGTAGAGTTGCTAAAAGTTGGCTTAGATAGCCAGGTGGTGGTGGTGTATGCCTTTAATGCCAGCACTCAGGAGGCAAAGGCAGACCGATCTCTGTGAGTTCAAGGCCAGCCTAGTCTACAGAGCAAGTTCCAGGA